TTAAGTAATAATTGGAATTAAAATTGTAATGTGACGTCATAATTTTAATTTATTTTTTGTGAACATGATGACCTCAATTAAAAAAATATTTGTTTATCATCTACTTTCATTTTTCCAGAAATAAATCATAGATGGCGCTGTTATCAAAGCAATTTAATAGCGTATCAAAATTGGGTTATGAAAAACATATCGCAACCATCTTTCAAAATGAAACTAAAATTGTTACATGTTTTCTTATAATAATGATCAATGTAAAACTGCGTGACATAAACGTAAAAGTTACAAAAGTTTACTCAGCGTCTTAATCAACCGTAAATGTATTAAAAACTCCTAATTGCGCCTCAAACTTTGCGAATAAACAAAAGTTAAAGTTTAATAAAGAGAATGGAATTAAGAATCAAGAAAAAAAGTACAAATTTTGCGTAACAAGTTTGTATTAATGCTTAGCATTTTCTTTTCCAAACAAGCCTTCGCATCTTTTGTTCTGAAAGTTTTAATTCAATCACAAGGTTGTTACTCACTTCGTTACTTACATAAAAGGTTTTAATAAAAAATATAAATGTCAGTCAATACGAGACAGAATATTTGTGATTATTAAAAGTTAAGGGCGATACAACTTTCCTAACAGTAGGTTTACACTGTCAAAACATTGCAAAAAGCATACTGTAGACACTCGCGTCTCTGAGAAAAAAAAACAACAGAATTTTAAATTACAAATGTTCATCATCATCAGCTCACTATACGTCCCCACCGAGGGGCTCGGAGTCTACCCTTTGTTAAGGGTGATCAGGCCATAGTTAACCACGTTGGCCCTGTGCGGGTTGGTTGACTTCATACATATCTTTAGGTAATCAACAGTTTTATATATTTGTATATTGTTACTTAACAGCAAATACTATCTGAGGGAATAAACAATAGATTTTAAGCAACAAGTAAAAAGATATTTACGGTAAAACGACTTTTAAAATACGTCTTAATTTATCAATCGATGATCCCTTCCGATTATTCATTTGAGTGCAATCCAGTTAGCACATAGCTGGACCAAACTTTTGCATACTATTAAGCACCGTTTGCATTACTCATGTAGAGCACAGAGTAGCTTTTCGCAGATAACAAGCCTTAAAATCAAGCTATATTTGTATTCAAAATCATGTATACATTTTTACAAATTATTGGTTTAAAAATTAAATCCTCTTATCCTTTACTTACCAAATTTATTTATAAATGGATATTATACGTATTTCTGTTCTGTGAAGTCAGCAAACACTCTGTTCTTTATCTTTTACATGATTACTTACCGTTTCTGAGATTAAAATCCTACGCTTAAAACTTATCGTCATCTCTGTTTTTTAAAAGATATTGACAAGGAGGACGATATATTTTAAAAAACCAATGATAAATGGTAACGATTTCCTATAAATTTACTAGTTTCGGCTCTACTGGCTAGCTACTCTTTGTCATCACAAATAGATTCATGTAGGTGAACTCGTTCGGTTTACGTGAGCGGTCTATCAAATGGCTTCATTGACGTTTGACTTTACCTCGTTGTCGAAGAAGCATCTAGATTACTTATTTTAAAAAACAATCACATAGATGCATTTATTTTACAATGTCACATACAAAATAAAACTGTTAGAGTAACAGTAATTTTTGCCGGTAAAGAATTTTGTCAGCTTTTCAGTGATTTCGTGGTAATATTTCATTGCAAGTATCAAGATAGTTTAGAAAGTCGATATCTTATACAGTACGATAAAAGAAACACAAGATGGAATGTTTCCAACTAGTGCATAATACAAAAATTGGACAGTTTGATATAACTTAAGGTTAAAATAAGAAATTAATAATTACTAAAGTAGGTCATGCAATATTAGCATTAAATAACTTTAGATTTAAGAAATATATAACACAATGGCTTTTGGCACTTGACTACGATTGTACTGAGAATCTTTTAAAAATAACATGACAATAAACATGACAGAAGAAATACATAACATAAACAATATAAATAATAATTCGGAGAAAAGTAGTAAAAACCACAAACAAAACAATACATACCTAAGCACACAAGCGCACATGCACAAACACACACTATCGCACACAATCGCACACTATATATCTAGTATTTATATTTGTATCTGAATAATAATAATCTATATTTAATTACATATATGTTAAGAATCTATATAAACTTTAGGCAATAGATAAGAGAAGGTGCTGTCTCCTGAAACACTGTATTTACTAGTTCAGGAGACGGAGCGCACAAAATTTTTGTGCAATTGTTTTTTTTAGGTCAATAAAGAATTTTTAATTTTTAAATAATTTAAAGGGCTACTCACAGTAGTTAGAGAGATATACTTAATATAATGTTCTGCTCAATTAGGAGAGGCTTTTGGTTGATGACAGACTTAAAATCACTGATTATGGGGACGCAGTAGTGCCTCCAGTTTTGCAATCGCGGCCGAGGCATAAATGATTTATAAGGAAGGCTTACGTCTAAAATCGAATTGTCGTTCGAATTGAAAAATATATTGAAGAAGTCGTTTGAAAGTAAAAAGTAAGAAAATGCATAACTTGCAGAAAAAGGTGCAAACTAAGAGACAATATCAATTATAAGTTTGTTTACTTTTTCAGCACTTTCAAGTTACTTTACAATGGAAATTTACAAAGTTCTATATTAATTCAGCAAACTATTTTCATTTGAATAAGTCGTATTAAAAATAATAAATTTTATACGAGTTTTTAGTAGAATTTCTTTTGTTTTCGTAAGTGGATTTATTTTTAATTTTAGTATTTAATGTAGTTTGGTAGTTCAAGTATTGAGTATACTGGGTAGTTCGCATGTGAAACCCCAAATGTGTCATAGAAATAGTTGACTTTCTTTCATTGGCTTAGAATTTTAAGACTATAATATAATACGCAGTTAAAATTATGATATTAAAATGTTATTATGAAAACTACGATTTACATGTTTTAAATTAAAACTTTAGTTGCTCTTTAAATAAAACAGTTCTCTTTGAATAACATAGATAACAGCATGTTTGTATATACATAGATGGTTCTACAATGGAAACTCACTTTAAAAAGGATAAAAGTAAAATGTAAACGTTAAAATAAACATTTCTACATTTAAATGTATTGAGTTACATTCACCGGAGCAGACTTTTACATATAATTAAAGGCAAGTACGCATTTCTTTGTATAGATTAATATAAAACAGAGATTTCATTAAATTTTATTTCCAGTGAATTGTTCTTTTAGTAAACTTCTTTTGAACAGTAAAAGAGCCCACAACAACATCTATTGCACGAATTTGCCGACTCAACCTGTACCATCACGACCACACAGGAGACAGGCGTGAAGTGATTAGAGTGCGCACTGGCCGTTTAATTTTAGTCATCTTTCCCTTCTTCCCACCCTTCTTTATAAGGAAAGATTTAGAATGGAAGAATATTTCACCTTCCTATGCGTCCCCTCCTCGGTTAAATCGACATCCCTTTCATATGCGTATCTGACCAAAAAGTAGCATTGTACTTTTATTGCTTAAGTTTTCTAGTATTAATGAAAAACGTTATCTCTACCGGTACGGTACTCTGTGTGAACCGCAAATAGGTTCATGTATATCAACTGCTACGAGTTATGTTAGCGCTCTATCAAATGACTTCTTTGACGTTTGACTTTCCATCACGACAGACTTTTACTTATAGCTACGCTTTTTATTTGACTCTCTCTAGAAAAGTTTTACTTATGTTTTTTTCAGGTGGCGCAAATTGATCAAGATATTATTTTAAGTTCTTTTTTTAATTAACGAACGACACACTAAGAAAAAATACAAATATTAGTATTATCGATTAAATTAAAGCAGGTCATCTATATCTAATCTGTCCCCCCTAATTTAAGGTAGGCTCCAACCTCCCCCCCAGTGAGGACATATAGTGAGCTGTTGATGAATGAAGAGTCATAATCCTTACGTATAAAAATTTACATATACACACGCACACACGCGCGCTAAGAGGGAGTAGGGTAAAAATTGAATGTGGAGTTTTTCAATGCAAAATAATGAACATCGAAGTTTCAAAAAAAGAAATGTTTTTAATTTACAAAATAAGTATTGAACAAAGGATCGCAAAAGTAGAACAGAACATAATTATCCAACAATCGATAGCAAACTTTTTCGCAGTCAAATTTTAGCCGTTTTGTATAAAATCATTGGAGCGAAGTACGTTTAATTTTGAAAATAATGTTTTAAAGTTCATTATTAACTTTATTAACAAGATTCTATTGAAAATCAGTTGTTTCTTACTTGTATTGTTTTATTAAAACAATGAAATAGTTACGTTTCACTAACATTTTAAAAGAAAAATTTGCTTTTGTGTTTATAAAAATGAAAGAGATTATAGTTATGTCATAACTAACAGTCGCCCGGGATTTTGTCCGCGTGGAATTTAAAAAAAACATAATTAGTAGGCTATCTGTTCTTCCAGACTATGTTCTATATGTAATGCCAAATTTCATCGAGATCCATTCTGCCGTTTTGGAGATACCTGTAAACAAATATCCATCCATCCATCTAAAAATTCGTATTTTTAATATAAGTAAGATATGTGTTAAGTCGTTGTCGATTCATTTCACATTTTTCTGATAACATATCAACTAATTTATAAAGAAAAAAATAACACAATCGTTGAGTGATACAAGCGCGAAATGATCTCCTATAATATTATAAATGTGAATATTTTGATGGACGGATGGATGTTTGATAGAAGGTATCTCCAGAACGACTAAACGGATCTCGCTAAAATTTTGCATACATTTAGAACATATAGGCTACTACTTATTTTTTTTAATTCCTTGCGGACGGAGTCGCGAGCGACCGCTAGTTATAGAATAATAATATGAACAAGGAGCTCAATTATTGGTCTACAAATTCTTTCATAACACTTTAGTTAGGATATTTCACAAGATAATAAACAAAATAACCATCAGTTGCTCAATAATGAACAATGAAGTAGTTTGTTACAGTCAAAGAGCTGTTATTATAGAAGTGTTCAAAGTTTCGCGAAGGCGTAATTAACCACCGCAAAAAATTTGGCAATACGCAAGTC